GGGAGGGAAATATCAAGGTGAGAGACACATTGATTGGTTGCCTCCCGCAAGTGCCCTGACTGGGGAAGGAGCGAACCTGCAACACAGATCCGTGCCCTTGACCGGGAATCGAGCCTGAGAGCCTTTGGTGCGTGGGTCAACGCTCCAACCGCTGAGCACACCAGCCAGGGCTATTTTATAACTTTTATAAAAAGTTATATTCATTCATTTATTTAACAAGGACTTACTGAGTGCCGACTCTGTGACAAGAGTTGCTGTGGCCCAGCCGGCATAGCTCAGCGGTTGAGCATCGACCTGTGAACCAGGAGGTCACGGTTTGATTCCAGGTCAGGGCACAGGCCTGGGTTTCAGGCTCCACCCCCAGTGGGGGGCCTGCAGGAGGCAGCCGATCAATGACTCTCTCATCACTGATGTGTCTATTTCTCTCTCCCTCTCCCTTCCTCTCCCTGAAATCAACACATTTTTAAAAAATAATATTAAGAATTTTAAAAAAAGAAAAAGAATTGCTGTGGGTGGTGGGCACACAGCCGGTCAGTGGTGTGTGGCGGCTGCACTGCAGACCAGCCCCTGTGCCCCGTCCAAGCCCGCCGGGCACAGGGCCCTGCCCCAGTGCTATTGGACTTCCTCTCGGGTCCTCCTGGGCCCCCACGCCCCGGCTGGCTTAAGCAGAACCTGCTGGGGGCTGGTGTGGTTGCTCTGCCTTCCTGCAGGCAGCCCTGTTCCCCCTTCGGTCGGTGGTGGTTGGCTCCCCAGAGGCCAGGCCTCAGTCCCCTCTTCTCGTAGGTGGCTCCACCTCTTCCTGGGCTTGTTTTTATTCTTTTTTGGTTCCTCCTCCAACGCAGGTGTTTGGGTGGGACACATTCTGAAGCTTCCGGAAAGACCTTTGTCACGCACTTACATCTGAGTGACAATTCCACTGGATAATAAAGTCTAGAATTTTTCCCAATGCTTTGAAACACCACCTGATAACCTTATAGGATTTGCTGAGAAATCTGCCATGAGTGTGATTCTTGCTCCCTTGGAGGTGATCTACTCCGGGAAAGTCTTCCTTGATATTCTGAGGCCTCCCTGCAGCCCGTCTAACTGTGGGTTACGTCCCCTCCTGCCTCTCTGTGGCCTTTGCACCTGCAGTCCTTCGTCTTTAATTCCTGGAACTCTAGCTTCTCTGGTTCTTCGAGTATTTCTTCTTCTCCAAGTCCCTTTCTTTTTGTTCTAGGACACGTCTCTCCACTCTATTTTGCATTTCCCATCCCTTTATTCTCCCAGGTGACCTCCTGGACCAGCTCTGGACTGATCTTGCAACACATCCATCTGCCCTTTGGTGGGCTCCCTCTGCTGTTTCTAATTCCAGTCATCATAAGGGTGATGAAAGCTGGCCCTTCCCAGCCACGAGGTCTGTACCAGGTCTGTTCTACATGCTTGACATATATCAGTAGTTAACCCTCATAGCAACCTTGTAAGTGCTGGTATTTTCCGCATTTTAGAATAGGAAATGGAGGCACAGCGACATTTGGAAACCTGCCCAAGGTCACACAGCTGAAAGCCGCAGAACAGGGATTGGCAGCAAGGCAGGCAATCTCCAGAGTCTGTCCTCTCAGCCACTATTCCACCTTTTATTTCTTCCAGCATGACCAACGTTGATTTTTCTCTAGCTCTGTATTCTGAAGCAACTTGAGGCTTATGAAGAAACTGTGAGACAGTACAGAGAGCTTCTGGGCTCCCCTCACCCAGGTTTTCCTGTTGCAATTGCCACCACATCAGTGTGACTGAGACCAGGACTTGATCTTGATGCAAAACTGTTACTAAACTGAACGCCTGACTCAGAGGTCACTGATGTTAGAACTGATGTCCTTCCCCTGTGCCAGGTCCCTCGCCCAGCGTGTGACAGCCCCTCAGTCCTTGCCTGTCTTTCCTGCCAGTAGCACATGTGAGAGATCCACCAGTTACTTTGTAGCACAGTCCTCAGTTCTTTCTTCGGATTGGAATGATCTTTGGCAACAATGTTGCAGAAATGAAGTTGAACGCAGCTCACCACTGCTGACTTTCCAGCCTGTGATGTGACCCTGATCTCCCTAGGGTGGTGTCTGTGGGGTGTCTCCACGTAACATCACCGTTTTCGTGGTACATCGTTAACATATTGTGCAGATACTTTAACACCATGCAAAATATATCTCTCCCCAAACTTTGACTTGCAAATTCAGCCCATCAGTGGATCTTTCTATGATGATTATTATTGTGACATTTGCCTAATGGTGATTTTCTGTTTCCTTCTTTCCTCCCTCATTTACCAACTGCAGTTCTACCGCAAGGACGAGCTGTCCCTTCTCCCCATGTACTCATTTAACCCGTTACTTATTTAGATCAGAGAGGATATTTATTCTTCTCTCAGTCCTGTTTTGCCTTTTGGAACTTTCTGGGATTGTTTCTGAATAATTTTGATCTGAAGTTGGTGAATACACGTATGAGAAACCTGTGGGTACGGTGAGTCCACTATACATATTTTTGTTAGGTATGACCAATTTCCCTCCAAAATTGTTCCCTTTGCCTCTGCCAGGGATGTGTGAACGTTCTGGTTTCCCTACAGCTTCTCCAACACCATGTTTGTCCTACTAATGTTTGCCAGTTTGATTGGCGAGAGTCGGGATCTCTCTGACTTTAACTTGCATTTCTCTAATGAGTGAATTTAATCTGTTTTCATGTTTGAGAGTCGTTTTCTTTTCTTTTTTCTTTTGTTCTTAATGTCGATCATCTTCAAGTCTTTTCTCCATTTTTCCTTTTTGGCTTTAAGATTTCCTGACACATTAGGGGCATTGGCCAGCTGCCTGAGGTTTAGGTTCTGAATATTTTCTCCTTATTTGCCCATGGTCTTTTCTTTGTTTCTGGTGCTTTGTCAGGCAAATTAAACATTGCTCATGGAGTCAAAGTGATTCACCTTCCGTTTCTGTGTCTGGACTCAAACTCTTCTAAGAAAGCCTTTCCTTACCCTGTGGTTCAGGAGGAGCCCACCTGCGTTCGGTTCTCCTGTTCAGACCTCGGCCCACTCATCTGTAAGCCCCTCAGCACCTGAGCTCTGGGCTCAGCCCTGCACTTCCCGCTCCCTCCTGAGCCATGTCCACCTGCCCAGCACCTAGGGTTTCATTAGGAGCATGGGCCTAACCTGCAAGGTGTTCTTGCTCCAGCTGGGTGCTCACCTCTTTAATGATGTTAACCAAGCTTTTTATTGTCAGAGTCCACCTGCTGTGGAGTCAGGGCTTCTGCTGAGTCTGTGGACCAGTGTTTTTCTTTCTCTGTTGTTGTTAATCTTCACCTGAGGATTTTTTCCTTTTTGTTTTAGAGATAATGGAAAAAATGGGGGGAGAGGGGGAGAAACACTGATGTGAGAGAGACACATTGACTGGTTGCCTCCTACACCAGCCCTGACCCACCAGGTATCAAACCTGCAACCCAGGTAGGTGCCCTGAACCAGGAATTGGCCCATGGCCTGTTGCGGGGGGGAGGGCAATGCTCTAACGACTGACCACACTGGCCAGGGCTGATTGTTTTTCTTTAAAGTTTCCATCTACTCTGGTCCTGGGACTAGAGAGGATGACAGTGACTGTCCCAAGGCACTGGGGCATTGGGGGCACATTCCTTATAGCTAAACTCTACCAGGTGCACAGGGCAGGCATCCTCCTCACCAGAGCCATCAGCCTGGGGCCCAGGCCCAGGCGCCTTTAGGCACCCCTTTCTCCTCAGGGAATTTTGGGGGAGGGAGCACCAGCCTGAACTGCTGTCATCTGAACTGACCAGGCAGTTCCCTTAGTCTCTCCTTTTTCCCTGGGATGCCCCAGCCTCTGCTCCTGGGAGCCCTGGGTCTTTCTTTGCCTGAAGATCTCTGAGACGTGCAGAGACCTGTTTTCTAAACAGTGAGTGTAGACCCGGTGATGTGAAAATCTTCCTCCTCCCAGTAACTGGGTCTTTTTAAAGGAGAGGCTCTGGGAGTGTTCAGCTAACCCTGGACGCTGCAGGACCCACAGGCAGAGAGGGGAAGGCCTGGCAGAAAGTGACAAGGGGGCCCAGGCCCTGTCCCTTCCCCTCTAGGAAGAGCCACAAAAAACCCTGAGGAAGATTTAGAAACAAACAACCTTTTTTGACTGTCACAGGGAACCCTCAAGTGCACCCTCCTATCCAGTTTCATGTGGGACCTCACTGCCAGGAACCAGCAAACCCCCAGGGTCGTCCCTGTCTGGGCAGGTCCCGGGGCAGGAATCCATCCCACTTCCCAGCCAGGCCTCAGCCTGTCGGCCAGGCAGCACAGAGCCCGGAAATCTTGTGGCGGCTTAATCAGAAACAGCAGCAGACCTTGGCCTTCCCTGACAAAGTCCTGCCCCCGCCCCCTGGGGACTGTTTTTCTTCCTAGCTCTTAAACTTTTTGGACTTGCACTTAAGAATTTTAGTTCAATTTCTTTGAGACGCAGCTCAGTGCGGGAAAGGATTCTTTTCTTTAGTTAAACAATTTTTAATTTTTCAACTCGAGTGTATTAGTGTACACAGGTGCCCAACGCAGTGATTAGACACAACTTACTAAGTGTTCACCCCGATACATCTAGTGGCCGTCTGACACCACCCACAGTGTGACAATATTATTGACTGTATCCCCTGTGCCGTCCTTCCCGTCCATCCCGAGACTGTTCTGTAGCTGCCAGTTGGTGCTTTTTAATCCCTTCACCTTTCTCACCCGCCCCCGAGCCCCTCCCCTCTGGCCACTGTCAAAATGTTCTCCAGGAGTCTGTCTGTTCATTTTGTTGCTTAGAATCCACCTGTGGGGGAGATCCTCCGGCATTTGTCGCTCTCTGTCTGACTTATTTCACACAGCGCAAAGGCCCCTAGGTCCATCCACGCTGTTGCGAATGGCAAGACTTCATTCTTCTTCACGGCCAAGTGATATTCCACTGTGTACACGCATCACTTCATCTGCTCGTCTGCTGGTGGACACGGAGGCTGCCTCGGCAGCTGGGCTGTTGTAAGTGCTGCTGCGATGTGTGCGTGGGTGCATGTGTCTTTTCCAGTTAGTGTTTTGGTTTCTTCAGATAAATACCCAGTAGCGGGATTGCTGGGTCCTTCCTTGTCTCTCGTTACAGTCTTTGATTTAAATCATATCTTGTCTGCTATAAGTATTGCCACCCCAGACTTGTTTGTTTGTTTGTTTGTTTCCAATTTCATGAAATACCTTTTCCCACCCCTTTGCTTTCTGCCCTGCCCCCATGCCTTTCTATCCGAGGTGAGTTTCCTGTGTACAGCCCCTGTGAGGGTCTCCTTTCCTTACCCACTTGGCCACCCTGGTCTTGAACTGTATGGTGATTTCTCCATGGGTACTGGTATTGGGAAAGCCTCATGTTCACCAGGGGGTGTTTCGGGTTGCTGCTCTCACAGCTCCGAGCCTCTTTGTGCTGCCGTCCACCGGAAGTGACCTGTGCTAGGCTGC